TCTCATCAAATCTTCTGACCAATCAAATGCTCTCTAGAATCCGAAGCGCCCACCCCCTACACTATAAATAGATGCTGAAGCTGCGGCTGAGATCGATCACTTGTTCACAGTGTAGTATTTCCTGTACAGTGAATGGCACTTAGTGCACAATGTAGGCGATAGGGAACGATTAAGATATGTTCAAATATGCTTTCGATTGGGACATCATGGACCGGAGATGCTTTTTGCGTCTCCGGTCCAGAGACGCGATCGCACGGAGCGGATCATATGCGCAAGTCGGCATATATTAAACACTTTTAAAACTACAAAAAGAGTTTCATATTGAATCTAGGGGGTATTTTGGCTCGTTTATGTGGGCCATCCCATGGTTGCAATGTGTTCATTGTCAAACTACAAAATCTGATTATTTTTCATTCTTAAAAAACACCATTATTTCATTTGAAAAAAATAATTTTATTTTATTGACAAAATATTTTAGTTTGTCTTGTATATTTTTTTTCAGTAGATCAGATAACATTTTAAGCTGTCATATGGTCATGTTACAACATGCCCCTCAGATGTTACAATGTACCCCACCTACAGGGCATGTTGTCACATTTAACTTCCATTTTTTTAGGGTAAATTAAGAAAAACGTATACATTGTAATTATGAAACAAAGCGACATATTTGTTCTAGACAAGTGTGAAATTACTGTGGATAAAAAAATTATACTCTGAACCCCATGTGGATTTACACAAACTGAGAAAGTCAAAAAGTGTTGTGCCCCGCTCTCCCCTACATTTATTTGATCAAAACTGTAAAATTAGGAATAATGTATTACAATTTAGTTTTAATATTATTACATTTTAAAATAACTATTTTCTTTTTTTATTTTATTTAAAAATATAGTTTATTTATGTGATGGCAATGCTACATTTTCAGCAGTCATTACTCCAGTCTTCAGTGTTACATGATATTTCAGAAATCATTCAATGTGCTGATTTGGTGCTCAAGAAACATTCTTATTATTATCAAAGTTGTGCTGCCCCTAGTGAAAAATAAATATACTAAAATGTATTTGAAATACATTTATTTCATGCTAAGTATGCTGCAAATACCTTTACATATTTATGTACTTAATAAAAATACCCTGTATTTGTACTTTTAGCATACTAAACTGGTATACTCAAAGTCTGCTAAATTCTAACAACTAATTTTGTACTTAATGCACTTTAATTGTGCGGAAGTAGTGCTGAGGGGAGGTCCAACTAAAGATATACTGAAGTATATTTAATTGTGCTAAAGTGGAACTATTGCAAGTATATTTCAGCTACACTTTAAATATCTTGCATTTAAAGGCTGATATTATTCAAAGATCATACAATCCTCATCAATAATGACATTAAAACACATTTTAGGTTTAATATTTAAAAATATGCATTGTGCACAGGTAGTACTCAATAAAGTTTAATTATAATTTTTATATCAGTAAGTCTCGAGCAATATGTTAGTAAATATGTTAATAGATTTGAACTATACTTAGTATGAAATAAATGTATTTTAAAAATATTAATATTTAATATATTAATATTTTTGTGGAATCCATCATTCATTTTTTTGAATTCTTTGAGTAATAGAAAATTCAAAAGAAAAAAATAGAAGTCTGAAATAGATTTGAAATAGAAATCTTTGCAACATTATTAATGGCTTTGCTGTCACTTTTTATGAGTTTAATGCATCCTTGCTGAATAGGGAAAGGACGTGACGTGTAGCCAAGTACGGTGTCCCATACTCTGAATTTGTGCTCTGCATTTAAGCCATCCAAGTGCACACACACAGCAGTGAGTAGTGAACAAACACACACACTGTGAACACACACCCGGAGCAGTGGGCAGCCATTTTTGCTGCGGCGCCTGGGGAGCAGTTGGGGGTTTGGTGCCTTGCTCAAGGGTCTCACCTCAGTCGTGGTGGTCATGACTGAGGTGAGGAAGAGAGTACTGGTCATTCATTCCCCCCACCTACAATCCCTGCCGGTACCGAGACTCAAACCCACTACCTTTGTGTTACAAGTCCGACTCTCTAACCAGTAGGCCACGACTGCCCCAAATAAATAAATACTGACCCCAGGTTTTTGTTGCTTATTTTAGAAGTGTTGAAATATTATTTTATTCAATTAACTTGCCTTTTTTGGTAATTATTTGTGAAATTTACTAGCAATTTAAAAATGTGAAAATTGTTTCTACAACAAGTCTATGGGCCCTATCAAACACCTGGCGCAATGCGGCGCCAGGCGCGAGGCAAGTGCTTTTTGCTAGTTTCAGCCCGACTCAGTTGTCATTTTCACATCCTGTGCCATGTTGTTTAAATGGCAAATGCATTTGTGCCCATTTGTGCGCCCATGGGCGTGCTGGTCTGAAAACGAGGTGTGTTCAGGCGCATTGCTGGCGCGTTGCTATTTTGAGGCAACTGAAATAGACTGCGCCATTGAAAAACCTGGGGCCCTATTTTAACGCTCTAAGCGCATGGTCTAAAGCGCATGGCGCAGGTGCACTCAGGGTGTGTCCGAATCCACTTTTGCTAGTTTAACGAGGGCTTGTCCCAATTCCCTAAATGGGTTGTCCCAATTCCCTTAATGAGTAATGGGTGTTTTTTGGGCGTAACGTGCAATAAACCAGGATGCTACGCACCATATGACTAGTAAGTCAAATCTCAAATAACTGCCCTGATGACTTTTGTTCTACCCGCTTAAATGATAGAAGTACTTGCGCTGTACTGTACAATCTATAAATACTGTGTCTGTTCCCCGAATAGTGAGGTCAAAATATAAATTTAATGCAGGATCTAGAAAAAGTCTGATCGTGATTAAACCAGAAAAATGTAAAATAAATGAACAAAAACAATTTTTAAAGTTTGGGCTCCTAAACATTAGATCACTCGCACCCAAAGCAGTTATTGTAAATGAAATGATCACAGATAATAGTTTTGATGTACTCTGCTTGACTGAAACCTGGCTAAAACCAAATTATTATATTGGTCTAAATGAGTATACTCCACCAAGCTACTGTTATAAGCATGAGCCCCGTCAGCCTGGTCATGGCGGCGGTGTTGCAACGGTATATAGTGATATTCTCAATATTACTCAGAAGACAGGATACAGGTTTAACTCATTTGAAATACTTCTGCTTAATGTTACACTGTCAGATATGCAAAAGAAGTGAAAAGCGCTGTACAAATAAACTTGAATTGAATTGAATTGAATAAACCAATCGGTCTCATCTCCCATCCCCTTTAAAAGCCAGTTGCGCTCGCGCCATGGCGGGTTCGCTATTTACATGGCGGAATGTAATTTTTCATATTTAAAAATGTTTGTGTGCTGCTGCGCGTCCCTGTGTGTGTAATAAGCAAAGTGTACGCGCGTTGTGCACCCGCCTATAGGCGCATATTACTAATGCGCTCTTTAAATAACAAAGAAAAAATATTGCGCCAGACTTTAGACCAGGTTTGAGTTGGTCTATAGCGCAGTCTATTTTCAGTTCCTCAAAATAATAACACGCCAACAATGTGCCTGAACACACCTCTTTTTTAGACCAGCACGCCCATGGGCGCACAAATGGGCGCAAATGCATTTGCTATTTAAACAAAACGGCGCAGGACGGGAAAATGAGAACTGCGTCGGGCTGAAACTACCAAAAACACTTTCGCCGCGCCTTGTGCCGCATTGCACCGGGTGTATGATAGGGCCCCTGGTCTAAAGTCAATGGCGCAGTAGTATTTTTGTTATTTAAAGAGTGCGCTAGTATTGGCGGGTCCACAGCGCATACACTCTACTTATTACACACACACAGGGACACACATCAGCACACAAACATGCCAAATATAAAAAATTAAAAGATTGCAATGTAAAAGATTATTATTGTGTAGGCTACATAAATATAAAAATGCCTACATGTCATAATGGATAGTCATTGCATGTATCAGAATTAGGCTACCTTTGCTCACGCCCATGCAGCTCCGTTTCATCTCTGGAGACGCGTTCTGTCTTTGCGCTTGCAAATTCCTCAATGTAAATAGCA